CATAAGGAGGAAAAAAAAAAAAAGAAAACCTAGAAACATGACAAAGCAAGATGTGGATGGTTTATAAGCCTGGGTATTACATACCCAGGGATATGTAAGGGATAACACTAGTGAGAAAAATCTTTAAAAGCATGCATGGATTGGGTACTACAAGCCATGATAAAGAATTTTTTTTTCCTGTAGGAAATAGACAGTCTTGAAACATTTTACTAGTGGCATGGCCAGATAAGTTTTCTAGACAGATCATTTTGATGGCTCAGTTCACTTACTATATATTTACTGATGAGCCAGGATTTAACTAAACAATTTTCGAAAAGGCCATTTTTGTTTGCTTGAAGTATAGTGAGTAAATCTCACTATGTTCATGAAGTAAGATTTAAAAATATTAGCAAAGACAGGTATGGTGACTCACACCTGTAATCCCAGCACTTTGGGAAACTGAGGTGGGTAGATCACTTGAGGTCAGGAGTTTGAGACCAGCCTGGCCAACATGGTGAAACCTCATCTCTACTAAAAACAAAAATAAAAATAAAAAAACTATATATATATATGCAAAGAAAAGGGCAAACAGCAATAGAACTTTATCATTAACTATTGAAACATCTCTGCCATCTTTATCAACACTACAATATATTAGGAAAAAAACAAGTTATCCTCATGATTACTCATTACAGAAATGCAAATCAAAACCACAATAAGATGCCACTTCACACCCACTAGGATGACTGTCATCAAAAAAGACAAATAACAAGTGTTTACTAGGACATGGAAAAATTGAAACCCTCATACTTTGCTTGTGGGAATGTAAAATAACACAGCCACTTTGGAAGCAGTCTGGCCAGTCCTCAAAAAGCTAAATACAGTTATCATATGACCTAGCAATTCCACTGCTAGGTGTATATGCAAGAGAAGTAAATGCCTACGTCTATCCTAAAATTTGTACACAAATGTTCATAGCATCATTATTTGTATAGCCCCAAAATGTTAACAATACCTATCAACTGATGAATAAACAAAATGTGGTATATCCACATTATTATTTGCTATAAAAAGAAATGAAGTACTGACACATACTACAACTTAGATGAACCTTGAAAATTTGCTAAGTGAAAGAAGCCAGTCATGAAGAACCACATATTCATATATGAAATATACAGAATACATAAACCTATGGAAACACAAAGTAGATTAATGGTTGCCTAAATGTGGGACAGTTTGGGGGCTTAGGGAGTGATGGTTAAGGAATGCAAGGTTTCTTTTTAGGGTGATGAAAATATTCTAAATTTGATTATAGCGACGGTTGCATAGCTCTGTGAATACACTAAAAACCAAATAATTGTACAATGTAAATGGAAGAGTTGAATGGTGCGTGAATTACATCGCAATAAAGTTGTTTTCATTTAAAAAATCAAATCTTTAACAATATTTTCAAAATTTTATTTCCTCTTTCTTCATGAAGCCAGATGGTGTCCTTCCCAGTACAGAATGTACTATGACACTGAAGTGCCAGAAAAATAGAACATTGAATCTGCTACTGGCAATTCTTTTTTCTAGAAAAAGTAAACTTCCAGTTGTTCAACAGAAAACAATTTATTTCTATGATATTCAAACAATAAGAGAACAGAAACTTTGAACCATCTGGCATAAAAGGTGAACTACAATGTTTCAACAACATCAAAATACAAATGCTTTTCTGTCAATTGATTTCATCTTCCATCTGTCTTAATCCAATCACTACTGTAAAAATTATCAATAATTATGGCTTGAAATTATCAATAATTATCAATAATGATATCAATGCTTGAATAATCAATATTTAAGCATTTAATCAATGCTTAAAATAATCAAGAATTATAAATGCTTGAAAGCAGAACCATGAGGAAGAAAGGAGTTAGCTTTTGAATAAGAAGACTTGAATCTAATCTCTGCCAAGGCCAAGTAATAGCCATGTGATCTCAGGCTAATATTTAACTTCTCTGAGCATCAAGTTGTTAATCTGCAAAATGAGAATAATACCAATTCCACTAACCTGTCAAGATTTTGGTTAGGATCAAATAGTATTTGCTACCAGATGCTAACTGTTCATCACTATAATGCAAGACCAGTAAATTCGGGACACTGGTTATTATAGTATAAAATTAAACATTAGAAACTTGAGGTAGAGTTTCAGAAGCAATAAAAGTCAAAAAGGGAAATAAAATAAATTAAAAATATTCAAATTCTTTGAAGACTGAGGACATCTAACATGAAGATATACAAAAATATGAGCATGGAAAAGAAATTTTACATGATATATTTAGACCCACCATTTTCCTTAAGATTTTTCCTTAAGATTTTGAAACATATTGCTATAAAAGTGATGAGTTATCTATTGTTATAATTATGAATAAGTTATCATTGTTGACAATTCCAGAGTCTAAAGTTAATGCTAAGGTAGCACTTCAATCTTTATTTGCTTATAAACACATTCCTATTAGCCCAGTAGTCAGATGAGATAAATATACTGATAAAGATACTAGATAACAGAAGACATAACAGAGAAAATTCACCTAAAAAAAGGGAAACATGTTTGCATGTATACATAATTAAATGTGTATTCATGCAAACAATAAATTGGCTTCAAAACAATCTGGTTGTTAATACCTTGGTCTATATATCAACCAGAGTTAGTTTTCCCATACTCTTATTTTTTCACCCCTAGGCAATCCAATATTGCCGGAAAAATAAACACGAGCATGCTAATTGGCTTTAGTGCAAATATGTGTCTCCAGCTTCAGCTGGGATTCCATGGTAACTTGGAAATCATGTGTTGTCCCTAGTCTTTTCCTTCTCATGCTTCCCACAGCAGCAATACACTTTGAATCTTTTTATCTCTGGTCTTCTGCCCTACCATCTTGAAGCATCATTCTTGCCAATAAGGAAAACAGATACCACAGAATGTTGATTTTCTTTCAGCCTCTCTTACAACATCAATAGTAGCACCCATCCTTTACTCAATTCATCACAACAGCAACTAATAGTGTGATTCTTCATTTATTATCTGCCATGTGCCAAGCACTAGGCTAAACATTTTACATATAATAAGTCATTTGGATCCCACAATAATTTTGTAAGTATTTCTGGTTCTACTTTATAGAAAAGTGAAGCTCAGAGGGCCTAAACGACTTGTTCAAGGTGCTTAGCTAATGAATGGTAAAAAACAGATTTTAATCCAGGTCTGCCTATGATGTCTCCTGGCCTCTGGAAAGGGGTTTCAGGCTTGTCCCAACACCTCCACTTTTACATAGGCACACCACATTAATAAATGTATTGTCACTACTGGGTGATCTTTCTCTTTCCTAACCAGGACTGAGAAAAATTTCATAATTGTTATGCCTAAGTGAAAAATGTGATTTATGCAACTATACATGCCATGCATTTGAATATATCTATATTAGTTACATTAATAAAAATTTTTAACAAAATATAAATTGATGATTTAGAACTTCTTAAAGACATGTAAGCTGAAAGACTGACTTCCATTGTATTTACAAGAAAAACTTAAAATACCAAGTTATGCTGAAAACAGTTATCATCTTTCCTCTTTCTCTTCATCTGCTGAGCAGAAAAAAAACAAGAAAACAGAAATTTCCTGCTTCAGTTTAGCAACATCTGCAGACACAACAACCATTTTAAAAACTGTGTCCTCCTCTTAATGGTCCTTACAAATGTAGGCCCTCATTAGCTTCAAAGAGTCTTGTCACATGACTTTTAATTAAAACTTCGCCCGTTTAGGTCTTTAATGGCTCATCCTAAGCCACAAGGTTTATCGTGCTTCTTACACAGAGGTTTAATTCCCTGGGCCCACATCACATTACACCCTTTTTTTGGAGATGGAGTCTCGCTCTGTTGTCCAGGCTGGAGTGCAGTGGTGTAATCTCGGCTCACTGCAACCTCCGTCTTCTGGGTTCAAGCGATTCTCCTGCCTCAGCCTCCCAAGTAGCTGGGATTACAGGTGTGTGCCACCACACCTGGCTAATTTTTGTATTTTTAGTAGAGACCGGGTTTCACCATGTTGGCCAGGCTGGTCTCAAACTCCTGACTTCAAGTGATCCGCCTACCTTGGCCTCCTAAAGTGCTGATATTAAAGGCATGAACCACTACGCCCGGCCTACACCCCTTTTTTTCTACTGTTGAGGATTAACATCAACACTGTAAAACCCAAGCAAGCAAGGGTTTGAGTTTATCTTGTTGAATATTCTATTCCCCAGTACCTACAGAGAAGTAAATACTGAATAAAGATATGTTCTATTAAGTAGAGGCAAGAAAACAAGATAGGCAATATTGTATAACCTCTACTGCCTTTTAATAAAATTTCTCTGGAACAGTTATATGAGTACTATAAAGATATCAAAATCCAGAGCCCATAATATCTTTTAAGCTTTAACATAAGATTTTGTTTTAATATTTAGTTTGTATTTATTTTAAAGCAGTTTTAAAACCACTTTTGTCATTTATTGATTCAAAATAAGCCAAATATCAAGGAATAATTTGTATATTTTAAACTCACGTGTATCTTTTTATAGAGGTAAATTTTTATCTTTAAACACTACGTTTCTTTCAGATCAAAATGTAGCTTCCAGAATGCAAAAAGGATGTTAGTTATATCTGTAGTTCATAAACAGCTTGTCAATCATTGTAGAATTCACGAATTCCATACATATTTATCACTGTATTCATTTTTAAACAAATATTGCAAAAGATTGCACACTGTGTGAGAAATGTCACCTAAATGCTAAAAAAGCCCGGTAAATATCAATTCTTAATGGTAGGTTCTTTGTCTATCATCAAAATAAATATCAGCTTCTTGTCCACTTTCAGTTTTGCTAAATGCCACCTACTTATAAATTAGTTATAATGATTCAAAACACACAGTTATATTTTAACTATGATTTCTCAATTTTTCTCCCCTTCCCCCAAATCAAGATTTGAAAAATTAAATGTCAAAAGTATTTACAAACCTCCATCCATCCTTCCGGAGATAACTGAAGGCTCCATCAACAACACTTGCAAAGAACTGCCCTCCTGTGATGAAGAGGGTATTAATGGTGACTAATCGGCCTCTTAAATTGGGTGGTGAGACCTCCGCAATGTACACTGGCACTGTCATAGAAGCAATGCCTATAAAAACAATGAAAAGTAAACGTGAGACCTTTACTCGAGATTTCTGTTGTAATAAATACTAATGCTAGATTTAGGCATACACTTACGTATATGGGCTTGGTTTTCTACTTTAAACACAGGTTTACCACATATTTAAGATTCTGTTCATAACAATTTGGGGCTACTGCAGACCAGTAAAAAATGTATGTGAGATATCATTTTTCGTATTATCACTTGAAAGCCTACAAATGAAAGCACCCCTAAAGGCCTAAGATAATTTTCAGAGGCCTTTATAACTTCTTGAGGACTAAAAATACAAAAAAAAAGTTTTCTAGATAGAATGATTACTGAAATATTTTTAGTCTATATGGAAATGTAATCAGACAATAGTGAGAATAAAAAGTTATCTTAGGATACATATTAACTATTCAAAAACATAGTTAGATGCCAGTGGATGTACCAAAACTTTTAATTGGTTTACTAATAAGAAATTCATATGTTAAATCACCTTATTCAATTGGCTAGGTGTACATTTCAGAATAAAAGAGTTTTACAGCTAAGGTATATTTGGTTATATTAACTTTAAATTTTTTTCTATCTGAAATTAATGCAGCATTCTCTATGGCAGTAGTTCTAACTTCACTGATAACCAGAATTACTTATGCGACTTTTTTATTTAAATAAAGTTGCTCTTACCTCACTCACCCCAGACCTACTAAACAGAGAACTACAGAGGTGGGGGATGAAACTGTCCTTTTAAAATTCTCCAGAGGTGATCTTGAGGCTTACTGTGTATTTAAAAACCTAAAGTTGTATAGTACAGAACTTTGAGCCAATCCAAATGATTTCTTAAAGTCTCACCCTCTTGTGGCACCTGCAATTTCCATGTATGTCTGATTATTTAGCCAATTTTAGTATTTTGTATTATTTAGCCTGTTATAGTATTCAGCCTTACCCAAAGGTTGGACAGATACTGATTTGCTGTATCTAATCAAATCAGTATCTGTCCAACCTTTATGGAGACTTACCAAAGTCTCCATAAAAAATAGATTGCCTACAAATTTTAATTTTTATATCTCTAGATACTATAAATCAATCCTTAGATTAAGCCAGAATATCAATAAAATGAATAAAACAGATCTATATAGAATTGCTTTCAACAAATTGTTTTTTAACAAATTTGTGATTGCAAAAAAATAGCTTGTGTTGAAGGAATCAGTACTAAGAAACCTGTTGCTGTGTTTTCTGTACAAGGGCTGTTGAAGGTACTATTTATTATAGTGCGTACAACAAGAGACATCTCTCTATGTAACTGCAATAGTTGTACTTTTCTACAAGTGATTTTTGTTAGTTGATGGTTATTATAAATCACAGCCTTTTTCATTTCCCTTTCTATGTACGCAGTCAGAGAGGCCCACCTCCATCCAATGTTTTGGACTTCAAGGTATTATTTTGTGACCCAAACTCTCTTCTAATGCCATAACAGTTGTAATTTATCCTATTATAAGTATATTTTTCCTCTATTTTTATTTGCTTTGTTACATCTTTGAACAAGGCAAATACATACATAAATGAACTGAGAGGCAAGATTTATTTAGGCAATATATATTTATTTGGGAAAATTCACTGTATTATTGTATAACTACTGATAAGTAGTTATTAAATTTGCACATAAGTCAAACCATTAAGTATCAGAATTAGATACTAATTTCCACCAATGTTGTTTGCTACTGTAGTGCCTGTCAATAATCTTATGACTTTGAGTTTCATAGAATAGTAAGCATGTGCTAATAGACACAGTATTAACAGTCTTCACAATTAAATCATCACCTGAGCAGCTGAAGTTTCCATTTGACTGCTAATCAATTTAATGGCACAGACCACCCTGAAATGCCCTCATCTACCTTGGAAAGAGGAAATAAACATCTACTGAAAATGTTGACAAGGGATTTGTATATTCTTTTTAGTTCTTTCACTATTAGAACGTCTCAAACTTTCATAAATCAAACAATAATTTATCATTTGGATTTCTTTTTCGGCTTTGTTCTGACTATGAACAGGAATTTGGTTGTTCTCTTTAGACAGAGATCTTTATTTAGCCATGTAGCCACAGAGTTGAGCATGGGAAATCAGGACTGTGGTTTCAGGCAACACATGCTTATCAAAAAAAAAAAAAATAGATTTTACTTGACAGAAATGCAGGTATGTCCTCAGACCCTGATAAAGCTCAATTATCTAAAACAAACATCAGAGCTTTGAAAGTAGCACGTACTGACAACAGGTAAAGACTGAAGACAGACTCATTGGATTTGGAGTTGGAAAGAACCATAAAAGACCTTCAGGTCAATGAGTGCTCACGCTGATTTAACACTGCAACAACTGCCAACATTCAGCAGATATTTTACAGAGACTAATTATCTTATTTAATCCTCAGGATATCCCTTTCAAGGGCGTGTAATTATCTCCATTTTTCATACCCCAGGTTGCACGATGAGTAGGTAGAAGAATCAGAATGTAAAGCACACAGCAAGATTCTAAAACCCAATTTTGATGGCACAAACTATATTGACCAATCATTATAAATAAGGGGAGGCTCTGGAACTAGTGGATTTTAATTCCAGCCTTGCCACTTATCAGCTGGTTAAGTTTGGACAACTTAACTTTTCTGGCTCTGAAGTTCCTCATCTATAAAATGGGAACAATAAAAGTAAAAGTAACTCCTTCATAAGATTGAGAGGATTCAATGAGCTAAGTAAAGCACCTAAAATTGTGCCTGGCTTACAGAAGGTAGTCAATAATATCAGCAATTATTTTTATTCTTATTATCATCTCTAGTTATGAGGCATCCCAATTCTTTCCATTCAATTCAACCTCTAATAGGTGACAGGATTATAAGGATGAGTACAAACAAATAAAATAGGGTTTCTGTTATGAGGGAAAGCACACACAAAACCTACTCACAAAAGCATACAATCTAGTAATTAACTTCAAAATAACATGGTAAGGGTCATAATAAAGTTATACACTGGATTCTACTGTGGCATGCTGACAATGACCAGGTGGTAGTTGGAAAGGTTGGGCAGTCAATTTTGCACAGAACATGAGCTTAAAATATATGAAATGGCACAGGGTCTTCTGAGAGATAAATAGAAAATGTGAGGCGGAATATGCATGCAGATAAGATGGAAGAGACAGAGGGTGCCTGAGTCATGGAAGCAGCATCCATTAATCAGTGAGTATTCATCAGACACTGGGTCTGAGCTCCGCACTGTGTTAAGCACTTTGGTGACAGTGCTCTAGGAGAGAGACATGAGCTCTGTCCTCATGGAGCTTAGGGTCTGCTGCTCGAGTGGGATGGGTCTTGTCAAAGGGGAAGTGTGAGGAACATCAGGCTATAGCAAAGGGACTAGCCCAGCCTGAGGAGTCAGCAGGGCCTTGGATAGAAGTCATATTTAAGCTGAGATATAGTGAATAAGAAAGTGAGAGTAGGTTGGAGGTAGGGAAGAGTCGGGAGGTACTGCAGACAATCAGATCAGCTTAGATAAGGGCCTTCAGGCAGGAAGAAATGCATCCTGCTGAGGAAGAGGTGGCGGACTACTTTTAGAGAAATGAGCAAGGATCAACCACAGTGTAAAGGCTCCTAAATGCCAAATTAAGGGCTTGGCACACACAAGCCTCTGAATAGGGTAGAAGAGGAAGATGCATGATCAGGTTCATGTTTTTAAAGGATCATTCTGGTTGGAGTATGTAAAATTGATTGCAGGGAAGCAACACGTACAGTGGCAGCAATGGAGATGGACTGAAATGAAGAGATTTGAGAATTATGTCTTTGGTATCTAGGTTAAAGAGAATATGAATAGCATGTGAAGGATAAGGAGAGAAAGAAGCTGAGGATGATGTTTCGACGTCAGGAAAACAATTAGGAGCATGATGGGCACTTTGTACAAGGATAAGGAGGGGCAAAAATGAAGTTTGAGTACAAGATAATAAGGTCAGGTCATAGATGGATTGAGTCAGAGGCGCTTTGTGAAATATAGAAGTAGATAGTAAGTGGCCTGCTTGATGGTGTGCTGGGAATATAGATTATTTACACGTGAGTAGTCCCACCCCCTCCCTGTTCCCCCTACCCAATAAGGTCTTCGCCAGAATAACCTGTCTTCTCCTTTATCCTCAAAGGAGAATTTGGTCTTCGTCAGTCTAGTTCTTGAGCTTTTATCATGCTAGGCAAAAAAAAGGGTGGAGAAAAGAAAACATGGGCAAATGATGAGGTATGTAGGGAGAAGAGTAAAAAAAGACAAAAAACAGTTGTGAGTGAGAGACTCGGGGTCAGTCTGGAGAAAATGGGAGCCTGTAACAAAGGGAGTAAGCCTCGAGTGTGGAAGTGAGGAGATGATAGCGGTTTTAAGAAATAATGCTGATCTGTAACCTACATGCTACTATATTCTTCAAGAGAAGTAAGTTAAGAGCAGTTCTGGCATACTATTGCTTTTAGTTGCTGGACTATATTTCTTCAAATGCAACATCAAACTGAGATTTGGCCAGGTAGGGCTTGGAAGTCAAACAACTAGGTGGAGCTCAAAGGATGGTTCTATGTGGACAATGCACATAACTGAAACTATGGAAATGGATAAGATTACTCAATGGCATATGAGAAGAATGCTTAGAATAGAATCCTGAAACAGTCTAACAATTAAGAGACTAGGAGGGGGAACTGAGAAGGTAGATGACCAGCAAATATCTATCTTACCTTTCAATACTATGTTATTTTTAAAGGCTTTGTATGTTACCATTTTGTCTTATCATGTAAAATCATCCTACCAGGCTGGGTGCAGCTGGCTCACGCCTGTAATCCCAGCACTTTGGGAAGCCAAGGCAGGTGGATCACGAGGTCAGGAGATTGAGACCATCCTGGCCAACACGGTGAAACCCCGTCTCTACTAAAACACAAAAAATTAGTCAGGCATGGCGGCACGTGCCTGTAATCCCAGCTACTCAGGAGGCTGAGGCAGGGAAATCGC